TGATTGCACTCAAGATGATCTGCTCCATAACCTTGCTGGGCACCAAGGTCAGGCTGACAGGTCTGTAGTTCACCAGATCCTCCATCTGGCCCTTCTTGTGGATGGGCATTACATTGACCAACCTCCAGTCATCTGGGACCTCCCTGGTTTGCCAGGACTGATGATAAATGATGGAGAGATGCTTGGTGAGCTCTTCCGCCATCTCCCTCATCACCCTAGGATGAATCCCATCCGGTCCCATAAACTTGTGGGCATCTAAGCAGCACAGCAGGTCAGTAACTACCTGCTCCTGGATTGCAGGGAGTCCATTGTGCTCCCCGTCTCTGTCTATCAGCTCAGGGAGCCAGTTATCTTAAGGATAACCTGTCTTACTGTTGAAAACTGAGGCAAAGGAGGTGTTAAGTACCTCAGCCTTTTCCTCATATTTGATGACTATATTCCCCCCCGGGTGTCCAATAAAGAATGGAGGTTTTCCTTGACTCTCCTTTTGTTAGTAGTGTATTTATAAAAACACTTTTTATTATCCTTTACAGAAGTGGCCACATTAAGTTCTAACTGAGCTTTTGCCTCTCTAATTTTCCTTCTGCATGACCTAACAACATCTTTAAACACTTCGTGAGTTGCTTTCCCCTTTTTCCAAACGTGGTACATCCTCTTTTTTTCCCCTGAGTTCCAGTGAAAACTCCTCGCTCAACCAGGCCAGCTTTATTCCCCACTGGCTCATCTTTCAGCACAAATACAAATTATTCACAGTTTTATTTTTTCTTATTTTAACTTTTCTAATACATTACTTAGACTTCTTTTCTAGATTACTCTTAATGATTCTCAACTGCTAATTTTCTTTTAGTATCATCAGAATAATATACAAAGATTTTTACATTTTCCACAAAAATTTAAAATGTCCCTTGAACCAGTGTCTAAAGATGGCAATAGCTTCAATTTTAATAGCCAGTACAACTTGATGCCATAAGCAGACTGCAAAAAAGTCTACTTCCCTGGTAGAAGAACAATGTAGGGTTTAGCTTGAGCAGTTCAATTTCCATCCTACAGAAACCAATTCCTGAGGTAAAAGTGGAAAGAGAGCCAGGATGTACATGGGCTTTCTCCCTTCTATGGGGTCAAGACACAAAAGAGAGTCCTCCTTGGGCCACCAGTTCTGCAAAGCCATTATTAACTTTTTAATGATCTATGTAACCACTTTTGTAACCAGTCATTTATAGATGTTTCCCTGAACTTAAATATGTATTTCTATTTATTAGAAGTAATTATTATGTAAGTATTTCTATTTATTGTCCCTTCTATACTTTTTAACAGGGGCCTTATCCAAAAGCAAAAACTCAGTGGTATTAGGTATTAATCACAGTAATCTACTTGCTACTTTATATGCTAGAGAATTAAATTTTTCCTCTTGAAATCACATCTTTCCCACAATAAACATGAATTAGTGTCATGGTTTTGCTGGTTCTTAGAAACTAAGAAGGAATTTTTCCCTTCCTCCTGCCCAAAGAGTGCAGGGTTGTTAAGTGGGCAGTTAAGGAGCAAAAAAGAAGCTGCCTTCTACTTAATGGCCTCAGAATCTCCTCTCCTGGGAAACGGGGGTGAGGAGCTCCTTCTTACTTTTTTTCCTCTTGTCTCCGGGGAAATGGGGGGGGGGAGGAGTTCTGGCTGACTGCTGAAGCTGGAACAAGGTTGGAGTGGAAGCCCGGTGGGGTTTTGTTCTCAACCTGGTTGCCAGCTGTGGATTCTGCTTGGATTTTAATCAGAGAGGAACTGTTTTGGGGAGGTTTTTTCCCCTTCGCCGTTCCCATTTGTTTCTTTCTTGGCGGTGGTCCTTGTGCACATCAAGGGGAGAGGGAAGACTGTGCAGCATGGTTCAACCAGCTGAACAGAGTGAGGTTTTCTTCCCATTGGGGAGGACTTTTTTGTTGTTGTTGTTTCTCTCCCTCCTCTCTCTCCCCTTTCCCAGTGTGTGTGGGGGTGGGGAGGGAAACCCTTTTTTGGTTTCTCCAACACACCCTGGAGGGTTTCACCCCACGTGGCAATGACCAGTGATTCCACAGCACCCCCTGCTGACCAGCACAAAGAACTGCAGGCTCTACATTTCCAGTAATCCAACAGTGCCCCCTGGTAACTGGCACAGGACACTACAAGCTCTGCATCTCTGGTGATCCAACAGGGGCCCCTGTTGACTGTGGTTAGAATTGCACCAAAGGGCACAAACTGAACTGTTTACATTTTTTTCTTTGTTTGTTTATTGGTTTGTTTTGAAGGGGATTATTTGTGGGTATAGGAGTATTGTTTGGTTGTTTTACTTGTTTTCTTTCATTGTTTCTGCCAATACACATATATCTTTAAGTAAAGGGCTGTTATTTTTCCTTTTCCCACAATTTTTTTCCCTCAGTTGGAGCCTCTTAATTTCGAATTTCCAATTGCTTATAGGGAGGAGTTTGGGTCTTCCTTGTAACTCATCCTCAGCAAAACACCTGTGTTTCATTTAAACTGAGACAATTAGTTGCTATAAAAGTTTTAGAAGTATAACTGTTTTTAAAGAATCATATTTAGGAGCTATGAATTTTGGTCTTGGAGTTTAGGCAGGAGGGTTATTCACTGATATGTTCACTGTTTCACACTTCATATATTTCAGATCCTTTATAGGAAAAAGTAGCAATTTCAACATCCAAATTTTTACATTGCTTCATCATTTTCTTCTCAAATATGTCAGCTTGCCAAAGCCATATTGCTGATGTCCTTTAAAATTTCATTATGGGTCAGATTTTCATTACTGTTTTAACTACTGTCAGACACTTAGTACCCGACTCCTTTGTTACCATTGTTTTCTGTTTCTGGAGGTATTTATCCCAAACTCCTCATGCAATCCTGACTATGTAAGTATAACCAAGTTTTTGGAGCCTTAGCACTTCAAATGTAGCTGCAGAATTTTTAATCATAAAAAACAATCAAAGACATGAAGGTGAATATCATCTGTACTTTTACAAACCGAATTTTCAAAGGGATCTTGTTTCAGTTGTGAAAAAGAAATGCCATGTGTGTAATCAGTATATACTAACCCCTACTGTAGCTTTTCACTAAAGCAATGGAAACAGATGCTGTAAATAATTTTACACCTGATTTCAAATGGTGTTGTCATAAGCAAAATGAAAAATAAAGATTAGAATTTCACCTTCTGTGTGGTTCATTCATGAGTTCATAGAAAAAACTTGCAGTAATCTGGAGACTGTTTCTGATATTTTATTTTTACGTTGTTTTCATCATAATAAAATTGTACAGCCAACCCACAACCATTAAAATTTTAAGACCAGTCGAGATGCTGCTGTCATTTGCATCAATATAAGTCCAATAGCAGTGTGAAACTCATGGATTATTAGTATCAATATTAACATTTTCATTGCACTTCTGCAGGGTTTGGAAATTCTAAGATTTCTGTTACAGTAATTTTTTTCATACTGAAAATGCCAAGAATGATGAACAATTTGTTTTGAATAAATATTCAAGGCAAGTTAACCTAGAATTTAGCTGTTGTCAAGAGATCTGTTGTTAAGGATGTAGTCAGAGATGATAATGAGTAAGGATAATGATCTAATATCTGCATTTTGAAGCATTTGCTTCTTATTTCTGAACAATGTTTGGAAAGAAGGAAAGCATTATAACAGGGTTCTGCACATCCCTGTGTCAGTCAATATATGCTGCATGTTCTCTTATTTTCCTAATGAACTTATGGCCACTTTTTATTCTATCTGGCATCAAAATCCATCTCAGAATGAAGAACAAAGACAAATACCCCAGAAGACAGCAGATATGAGTTTAGTCAACAACCTTTAGAAAAACCTTCTGAGTAATCCCTGTGCTTTCCACCTGTATTTTCACCAGATTGCAAACTGTGTATTTAAAGATACATGCATTTGGCACTACCAAAATTTACTGGAATGCTGTCTCAATAATGGTCAATGACCTGAAACCTGTCAGATGTTAAAAAATAAAAAAGAAGCATTTGGAAAAAAAAAATTTTCAACATTACAAAAATGTTTTACTCTCTGAACATAAAATACATACTTTTATAAACAACAGATTTACTAAAACACCTGCTCAAAAAAAGAAACTTCTTGCCTCCATTTGTTTTCAACCATAATCCCAATATACCTCTTTTAATAGAAGGTAGATATTAAAGCTGCATTACTTTTATGATCAATGGATCTTACTGTCATATATACTATATATGATGTCCATCCTGAACTTCTCCCTCAGGGAAATTTACATGGGAGCTTGATACAAATAAAAGTGGTAGGATCATGATTTTTTTTTGCTTCTAATTTATTGTAAACATGCAGAAATTTCCATTACAATTTATTGCCCTACTCCCTAGCTTGGATAAAATACTACAACACCAAAAAATTGAAATTAGATATGAAGTACTGAATATGTATGGTCTAACAATGCAATCAATAGTAACAGAAAACTCTTATAATGAAAAATGCACTGCATAAATCCACTTAAAGCAATTGAAAACTACGGACCATACATTATTAGACATAAGAAACAACGGAGGAAACTATGCACAAGGTAAACACTTTAGGAGACTAGCCACCATCACAATTCTACACCTGCAAGTAACTTCATTAAGAAGCAAACATCAGAGCTGTAAGTTTGTTATTAGAAGTGGTCCAATTACATGTCGAAAGACAGTCAAGAAGATGTGATATACTAATATTTAATGAAAGATTCTATTGAGATTTTGAAGCTGAGAATGGCATCAGGGTGGAATTGTTTCTCTGTATTTTATTATGCAGCTTTTCATTCTACCTACAGAGGATGAAAGCCTTACATTCCATTACCATGGAATGAGATACCATGGAATGGTACAAGTAAGCCTATATACTTTAAAAGTTATCAAATAAATATTTCTGTTATGACTACCATGAGTTTGGGCATTAATTTCAACAAACCTAATCTCATATCAGGTAAATAAATTCTGAAATACTCACCATGATTCCAGTGAGTAAACAGACCCCTTTCCCACAGTATGTATTAGGTACCATGTCACCATATCCAATGGATAGAAATGTTATTGAAATCAACCACATTGCTCCAAGGAAGTTGCTTGTAACATCCTGTTGATCGTGGTACCTGAAAAGAAAAAGAAAAGAATTTCTTTATAATGAAAAGTTCTGTTAGATTTTTGTGCTGTCAGAAAGAAATCTCATTAGTTGGTGTGTGATGGATTGACCTTGGCTAACAGCCAAATACCCACCCGCTCACACCTCCCTGCTCAGCAAGCAGAGGACAAAAGAAGTTTGTGTAATGAGAAACAAAAATAAAACCTAAAAATTCAATAAAACCCAATCCCCCATTTTCCAGGTTTAGATTCACTCCTTTAATTATGACTCCTCTACCTGTCCCAAAGCATCGCAGAGTGGATGGGGGTTACAGTCAGTATATATGTACTAGGTCTGGCTAGGATAGAGTTATTTTTTTTCAAAGCAGTTCCTGTGGTGCTGTGTTTTGGATTTCTTACCAAAACAGTACCAATAGCACACTAATATTTTAGGTATTGCTGAACAGTGTTTGCACAGCATCAAAACTTTCTCTGTTTTTCACACTGTTGTTGTCTAAAAGCGGCACTTGAAAGAAATCTCTAAGATTTGTTTGTGAGTTTTAGAAGTCAAGGCATTCTTTATTTGGCCACTGGGTGCATTGGTCATCATTTCGCCAAAATGCACACCGAGGTATCTCCACTACAGCTTTTATGTCAACATTACATGATTATTCATTTTCAGTTCCCGGCATTCCTGTTACATATTCATTACATTTCCCAACACCTATTAGCATATATACATATCCTTATAAGGTTTTGGAGGGGCTTCTTCAGGGGACTTTGGTGGGCTTCTCTGTCTGAAGACCCTATAGTTCTGAATGACCGCCTTATGAACTTGTTCAAGACAATTCACTTGGTTATACAGTAACTAGGTATTGCTTGGCTGGCTGCCTCAGTTCCCCTCCTCATTGTTTCTTTATTTTACTTGGTTAGTTGTTTTAAATCACTTGTCTCATCTATATGTAATTTCTATAGTACATTCCATTTGGTTAGTCCCTTTAAATCACTTGGCTCAACTATATGGAGTTTCTATGGTAAATTCTGTTACAAATACTATCAGTCCTCTTTACATCTCTAAACTTCAACATCACTGTCCTCCCAGTGAATAGGTTGGGGGAGAAGGGGTTGCACAATAGGCTGGGAGGGAACACAACTGGGCAGATGACCTGAACTAACCAAAGAGATATTCTATATCATATAATGTCATGTTCAACAATAAAAGGGAAGAGAATGGACTTTAGGGGGTTATCCATCTTTTTCTCAGGAACTGGTTGGGTATCGATCTACCCACAGGTACATGATTGCTTTTGTATCACTTCTTTATTTTCTTCCCTCTTCTTCCACTTATGAATCACTTATTATTTGTCTGTTTTATCTTGACCTCCAAGTTTTCTTGGTTTTATTCTTCCTTTCCTTTTCCCCTGTCCCACTGTGGAGGAGGAGTGAGCAAGCAACTGTGTGATGCTTATATTCGTCTACCAGGGTTAACTCACAACAACATAACAGTCCCTTTCTGCCACTGCTTCCTTCTCACACTTTTGCCCTGCTCCAGTGTGTGACCTCTCAAATAGCTGATCTGTCATGGTCTCTTCCACGGGTTGCAGGGGAATGTCTGCTCTGGTGCCTGGAGCATCTTCTCTTTCTTTTTCCTCCTTCTCTGACCTTAGTGTTTGCACTGCTGTTTCTCACTCTCTTTTTCTCTTCTCCTCTGCCTGTGCAGTGTTTTCTGCCCTTTCTTAAATATATTTTCATACAGGCACCACCAACTTTGCTGATGAGCTCAGTTTTAGCCTGTGGTGGGTCCATTGCCAACCCAGTTGGAACTGTTATTGCTATTCAAATAGCAGAAACCTCTTGTTTTTTAAGAGAATCTTTTTTATGGGGGCAAAAGTCCTGTTGTTCCTCTGCAGCTGTATAAGACATCAGTCTACTATAGTTGCTCCAGTCTGAAGCATATACCAAAGTCAGAAATGGATGTGTGGACAAGCAGAGAGCAAAGCAGATCTCTGTCTCCTTGTATTAGACACCAGATCAGTTATTATTGGGTCAGAACCAACTTATGGTGAGAGTGTGTGTGTGTGTGTGTGTGTAGGGGGAAGGGATGGGTCGAACCTCATGGAGGTGGGGTGGCATCGTATCTTTCATGGCAGTCCCTGCCACTTGAACTTGTGAGAGCTGGTCCTCTACAAGACTTTGGTGGTAGCTATCTCAACCTATTTCTCCTTCTCCCTTCTTGATCCCTCTGCTTCTCTTTCTTTGCTCCTTTCTTGATGCTTGGGGTGGTTTGGTGCTGGAGGGATTGGATTTTGATTTGAGTGTTGTGGAATTGGTTGGATTTTGCTTTAAGTGTTGTGGATTTATTGGATCTTGATTTAAGTGTCATGGATTAATAGTATATGCTGATTCTATTGTGGTGGAACATTTTTGTCTAGCTTATGTGGTGTCCCTGGTGGTCTAGTGGTAAAGGCGCGGCGCTATCGCCGCCGAGACCTGGGTTCAATTCCCAGTCAGGGCCACTCCCAGGCAGGTGGGGCACGTTAGCCCTTAAAGGCAACCCACCTACATCCTAAGGACCTCGCTGCCACCGTCCAAGCTCGCTTGGCCCTGGCAGATGAACCTTAGGATTAAAGGGTGGGCTCAGTTCCGCGCACACTGTGTCTCACCTAAAAAATCCAATGCGCAGGCTGGAAGGTGTAAAGACCTTCCCCGGATCTTCGCTCGCGAAGACTGGCCATTATTATTATTATATTATTATGTGGTGTCCTTTTGAACTTTGGCCAAGTCCCCTTGTTTGCTCCTCTAAATTAATAAATTAATAAATTAATAAAGAAATTCCTTGGGAACAAGCCCGTGGCTTATTCTCTTGATGCTATCTTGAGATATTAAAGAAAACTATATCTATATATTAAAGTAAAACTCATAGCCAATCCCATGAGCCAGCCAAAGTTTTACATCTTGGCCTAAATTTAAATCTGCAATCAATAATCTAATAATGAACTGTCATGCTGAATTTAACAACCTAGGATTTTCCCTCTTCTTCAACATATTTAAGATAAATAAAACAGTATGCCACTGCATTCCTCGTCATCACAATTTCTTCACATTACAAATAAGAAAACCTCCCTTTTGTATTAAAGTCAACTACTAAATGTAATTTCCTGATGTGCTATTTGTTGTCTTATTTTTATCATTTTACTGGAATGTGTTCGTTTTTTCCTGTAAACAAGCTTAAATGAATAATCTAGTCTTCACATTACATGTATATCAACTGAACTGTGAAGCCATAAAGACACCTTTTAGGTATGAAACTGGCTGTTGCAACCCAATCTGTGAGGAAAAAAGTCCTAGCACTAATGTAGAAGGAATTTTGCTTCCTAGACACAGAGTAGCATTGCAACAGAGACTACCTGCCTGCTACTGCAGCCTTAAGGTTGAAATAACCCCTGATGTTGCTGTGTAGCCTCAGGTTAGTTATCTGTGCTGTTGTTTCCTCAAGGGTATTATTTTAACCAGTCCCCAAATCACTGTCTCACAGTAGGTCACAGAGTGCCACTAGGTAATTAGCTCATAAATCCATGGGAAACCTACTTTCCATCTGTAGTGGTTTAACCCCAGCCAGCAACTAAGCAGCACACAGTGACTTGCTCACTCCTCTACCAGCAGGATTAGGGAGAGAATTGAAAGAGTTGTTGCCTTAAGATCGAGAGCAAAAAAAAACTCCAGGCAAATTTAATATAGAGATAAGATATAGAGCAAGTCTTTAATGAAGGCCTTCTGGCGCAAGGAGTACGAATGGTGCACATGGCCCGTGTCCAGGGGTTCCACAATTTATGGTCCAATCCGAGAACCACCCGCCTCCAGATCTGACCCCAGGCATGTCTCCCTGGAAACTGAGTCAGAGATCCTAAGATCCCTTTCTTCCTCATCTTCCTCTTCTTCACATCACGTACTGTCTTTGGAGCTTCTCCAAGGTTCCGGGCTTGAAGGTTGCTTTGACTATGATGGTATCTTATTGTTCAGGCCTGGGATGCAAATGTTCTTTAACAGAATGAAGGCCTGTCTTGAAAGGGAGCCTAAACAAGCTTAAAGAATTTAGAAAATTCAATATGAAATGGGGGATAGGGTTTGGTGAGTGTTTAACTACTATTCTAAAGTGTGACAGACTATATAGCTATATTAAAAATATATATTTACTACACAGCTACTTTAAAATCTATAAAAAACTAAAAATCCTAAAAATTCAAAAGCATCAGAGTAAAAGTGAAAAAAACCTTCTTGGACTGAGATAAAGAGAGGTTAATAAGTAAAGTAAAAGCTGTGCACACAAGCAAAGCAAAACAAGGCATTCATTCACTGTTTCCCATGGGCAGGCAGGTGTTCAGCCATCTCCAGGAGAGCAGGGCCCCATCATGCGTTATGGTTACTTGGGAAGACAAATGCCATAACTTCCTCCTTCTTCCCGTCACTTTCTGTACTGAGCATGATGTCATATGGTCTGGAATATCTCTTTGGTCTGAAAAGCAGAAAAGGCCTTGATGCTGTACAAGCACTACTCAGCAATAACAAAAACATGATGGGGAGGGGAGTCTTTTCAAAGAAGACATTGCTCAGGGACTGGCTGGGCATCAGTCTGCTGGTGAAAGGTGATGACTGCCTGCCTTTGCATCACTTGTTTGGGTTTGCTGTTTTTTTCATCTTTCATTTTAAACTGTTTTTATCTTGACTATGCTGTTGCTGGTCATGATGTTTACTTGTTTGCTCTCAGAGATGGTCTATTTGGCCCCTCAACTGCTCCTTGGAGTGCTCCCTCTCCTGCTGTACATAAAATTCTAGAGCTTGTTTGTAATGGCTGCTTTAGGCTTTAGCCATTTGCTGTGCTGTTTATCACTTGGTTGTGTTTTTCCTGGGATGTGCCTTGTATCATCATGTCCTTTCTGAGATTCCCTTTCCAGGTCTCACTTTCTTGCTCACTCCCCTTTTTCCTTCAGTCTCTCACCCTTGCTTGCTCACTAGTCATATTCATATATCTGTAGAAAGACTTTTTGTTATCCCTAACAGAAGTGGCAAGATTGAGTTCAAATTTTGCCTTCGTCTCTGATTTTCTTTCTACATGACCTATTTACATTCCTAAACTCTTCATGAATAGCCAGCCCTTTTTTCCATAATCGATAGGCTCTCTTTTTTCCCCTAATTTGCTTCAAAATCTCCCTGTTCAGCCAGATCGGTCATCTTCCCCACTGGCTTGCCTTTCAGCAGACTGGAACAGCCTGCTCCTGTGTGGTCAGGACTTCCTTCTTGAAGCATGTCCATCCCTCCTGGACCTCTTTGTTTTCAAGGGTTGTTTCCCAGGATACGCTCTGAACCGGCCTTCTGAATAGGCTGAAATCTGCCCTCTTGAAGTCCAGTGTAGAGGTTTTATTGATGGCCCTCCTTGCATCCCTGAGTATTGAGAACTCTATTATTTCATGGTCACTGTGCCCCAGATGGCCTCCAACCACCACATCTCCCACCAGCCCCTCTCTGTGAACAGAAGGTCTAGCAGGGCCCCACCTCTGGTAGGCTCATTTACCAGCTGGAGTAGGAAATTATCCTCTATACATTCTAGGAATCTCCTAGACTGCCTCTTCTCCACTGTGTGGAGTTCCCAGCAGACATCCGGCAGGTTAAAGTCACCCACAAGAACAAGGGCTGTCGATTTTGAGACATCCGCCAGCTGCCTGTAGAATAATTCCTCATCCTCATCATCCTGGTTGGGTGGTCTGCAACACACTCCCACCAGGATATCAGCCTTGTTGGCCTTCCACCTGATTCTGATCCACAGGCACTCAACCTTATTGTTACTGACTTCAAGTTTTACAGAGTCAAGAGACTCTCTAACATACAGAGACCACCCCCCCACCTCTCCTACCTTGCCTGTCCCTTCTGAAGAGCTTGTAGCCATCCATGGCAGCACTCCAGTCATGCGAGTCATCCCACTACGTTTCCGTGATGGCGACTGCATCATAGCTTTCCTGCTGCACGATGGCTTCCAGCTCCTCCTGTTTGTTGCCCATGCTGCGTGCATTAGTGTACATGCACTTCAGCTGGGCTGCTGGTTTCACTCTTAATCCGAGTTTCCCACCCTTAGGCTCATCTCTGGAGAGCCTAGATTCAATCCCTTCCCCCTTCAAACCTAGTTTAAAGCCCTCCTGATCAGCCCTGCCAACTTACGGGCTATAGTCCTTTTGCCCTTGCTAGATAGATGAAGCCCTTCTGATTTGAGGAGACTAGGTACCATGGAATTTGCCCCATGGTCAAAAAAACCCAAATTATGCTGGTGGAACCAATCCTTTAGCCACCTGTTGATGAGATGGACTTTCCTACTCCTCTCCTCATTCATCCCTCCTACTGCAGGAACTGAGGCAAACATATCCACCCATTGCAGCACTCCAGTAGTGTGAGTTATCCCACCATGTTTCTGTGATTACAACTATATTGTAGTTTTACTGATGTACAATGGCTCCCCACTGTTCTGTTTGTTCTCCATGCTGCTTGCATTGATGTAGATGCACTTCACTTGAGCTATTGATCCTGCCACGTTTTTGGAAAGAAGCCCTAATTCCTAATGTGATTGTTCTCAGGTGCTTCCATTGTTTCTAATACATCAACAACACTTGCATCTTTGCTGCCCTGTGGATCTCCATCCCCTACTCTCATTAAGGTAGTTAATGTGCTGTGGGCATTAGTATAGGGACTTTTCCATCTGGTCTAGTGGAAGGTGTCCCTGCCCATGGCAGAGGGAGTTGAACTAGATGATCTTTAAGGTCCCTTCTAATCAAAACCATTCTATGATTCTATTATTTCCATTGTGCTTCAGTGTACTCAGCACATCATGGAGGAGGCTGAAGGACCTCACTAGCACACTGTCCCTCAAACATTGGCATGCTGCCCCCAGCCTTATCTCTAGCGAGCCTGGTTTTGTCCCTTTCCCCCTTTAAATCTATTTAAATCTATTTCAATGAGCCCTGCTAACCGTTGTGCAAAAATTCTTTTCCCCTTTTGAGAAATGTGTACCCCATCTGTCTCCAGCAGGCCTTGTGTTATGTAGACCAACTTGTGATAAAAAACCCCAATATTCTGTTGATGAAACCAGTCACAGACCCAGGTATTGATCAGCTGGGTCATCCTGTTTCTTCCAGCATCATTCCCTACAACTGGAAGGATAGAGGAAAAACCTACTTGTGCTCCCGATCCCTTAGCAAGTTGTCCCAAGGCCCTGAAGTCTCTCTTGATTGCCCTTGGACTTCTTATTGCAACTTTGGTGCCTCCTATGTGAAAAAACGATAATGGATAATTATCCAAGGGCTGTACCAGCATAGGAAGTTTTCTCATAGCATGTTTAACCCAGGCCCCAGGGAGGCAGAAGACTTCCACAAGAAATGGGTCAGGTTGGCATATTGGGCCTTCTGTTCCCCACAGAAGAGAGTCTCCTATGGCAATAAGCTATCTTTTTTACTTAATGGAAGTGGTTCTGACCAACATAACCTTGGTGACACCCCCAGCCTAGATGGACCATCATCCTCATCATTGTTCAGTTACACTTGCAGACCCTCATATTTATTGTACAAAGGCACCTGGAAAAGTGAGGTAGTCACAGAGAAGATGCACCTGCTGAATCAGGCAGGAACTTGTCACCATTCCCCCCATCCCTTAAATCACACTGCATTCTGTCAGGTGGATAGGGAATTTTAGGAGTTCATATGCACACAAGTAACCCCAGGTACCAAGCCATGGCTAAGGTATTAAAGAAAAAGTTTATTCCAAAGTTGAAAACCCTAAAATACACTGCTAAAAATCACAGTGGGTGGAAAGAGTGCATGCAGCCTGTACCCTGAGTGCTTTTACATCAACACCTTTCATGTGTGCATAACTTCAAGGTTGTGTTCTCCCCTTGTTCTTTTATGGGCTTTTCTGTCTCCCAACAGGGGCCCCACAGCATGTTTGTGAGAAAGTGTTATCGCTACACAGGAATCTTACTTTTCAAAAGACAGGCAGAGAAATATATACAGTGCTATTCATGAAGAAAGAATCTTCTCCCATGCCAGGTGTAGTGGGTTTCTATGGCTAGGTTTTGGTAGCGGGGGGGAGGGGGCGGCTGCAGGGGTGGCTTCTGTTAGAAGCTGTTAGAAGCTTCCCCTGCCCTATGGAGCCAATGACAGCCGGATCCAGGACAGGTTTCCTGCCACTGGCCAAGGCCAAGCCAATCAGGAGTAATAGTAATAGTAACACCTCTGTGATAACATATTTAAGAACAGAAGGTTATTGCGCAGAAAAGAATTCCAACCAGGGAAGAGCAGAGTGAGAACATGGGAACAACAATGCAGACACCAAGGTCAGTGCAGAAGGAGGGGGAGGAGGTGCTCCAGGCACTGGAGCTGAGGCCCCTGCAGCCCGTGGTGAAGACCATGGTGGAGCAGGCTGTCCCCCTGCAGTCCATGGAGGACCATCGGGGTGCAGACACCCACCTGTAGCCCATGGAGGAGCCCATGCTGGAGCAGGTGGATGCATGAAGGAAGCTGTGACCCCATGGGAGGCCCAGGATGGAGCAGGGTCCTGCTGGAGACCTGCAGCCCATGGAGAGGGAAGCCCACGCTGGAGCAGGATTTTCTCAGGTAGGACTTGTGGCCGCTGTGGGGGACCCACTGGTACAGCTCATTCGTAGGACTGCACCCCATGGAGGAGTGACCCACGTTACAGCAGTTTGGGAAGAACTGTTGCCCAAGAGATGGACTCATGCCGGACAGATCCATCAAGGACTATCTCCCATGGGAGGGACCCCATGGGAGCAGGGGAAGGACTCCTCTCCCTGAGCAGAGGTAGAAACAACAACAACAACCCTGTCCCCCTGCACAACTGGGGGGGAGGAGGGAAAACATGGAAGGAAGGAGGGCTGGGGGTAAGGTATTTTTAAGACTGTTTTATTTCTCACTCTTTGGCTCTTATCCTGTTAGTAATAAATTTAAGTACTATCCCCACTTTGAGTCTGTTTTGCCCATTATGGTGATCAGTAACTGACCTCTCCCAGCTGTTAGCTCAGCTCATGAATCCTTGGCTGTTTTTTTCTCTCTCCTCTGTCCAGTTGCAGAGGGAAAGTGAGAGTGGCTTTAGTGGGTACCTGGCATCTGGCCAGGGTCAACCCACTATACCAGGCCTTTCACAGCAGCAAAAACTTCCTTGAGTGAAAATTCTTTATCCTCCTCGAGTAAATCTTCTGCATATAATTTTTGGTCCCTACGCGAATCCTCTGTATCATGTGTTCTGTCTGCCTGACAGGTCTGTCCCAGGGAAGGTAGGGTGCAGTTCCAGGAGTTGATCTCCTTCTCAGACTCCCTGATTCTCCTCAGCATACTCACCTCATTACAGAGCTCTGCCACTGAGCTGAGTCCCTTTACCTGAGCACATGTCCCACAGGTTTACTCACTGCAACCATCCAGTGCTGGCATAAGAGAGTGGAGGGTCATAACACATGATCTCACTCATTCTTACTTCCTTTCTTGTGCTCACTTCCTCACTTTTTTGCTTTCTCATTTTCTCATGCTTGCTTCTGCATCCTCTTTTGCTCTCTCCAACACTCCCATGCATGCTGTCTTGTGCTTACTTAAGCTCTTTTCTGCTCTCCCTTCTCTCTCTCTCTTTAGGCTTCCCTCCCCCTCCCCTGCCCCCTCTTGCTCTTGCATTCTTGCTCAACCTCTCTTTCTTGCTTTCTCACAGTATTGGGTTTGTGTTGTCCCTCCACTGTCCAGTTGAGGAGGGGAAGTGATAGAGCAGCTTGGTGGACAACTGGTGTCCAGCCAAGGTTAATACACCACACTTTCTGAGACTCCCTTTCCAGGTCTCGCTTTCTTGCTCACTTTCCGCCCCTGCCCCATGCACGGTCTCTCAGCCTTGCTTTCTCACTAGTACACTGGAATTCACCTTTCCACATTCACTTTCTTGTGCCTTGCATCATGTCCTTGAAGTCTCACTCATGCTCTCACCCTCACCCTGTTTTCCATGCTTGCTTTCTCTCGTTTTTTTCCTCACATTTGCTTTTGTGGTCTCTCTTTTGCTTTTCCTCTTCTCTTTTCAAAATCTCTTCTGCTCCCTTTCTCACTCTTGCTGTCACTTCCTTGCTTGTGCTTGTGCTTCCTTTTGCTCTCTTTCCCTGCACCCAGTTGCTCTTTTCTCCCCACCCCACCCTGCCCCACCTCACTCTTCTGCTTATTTTCTCTCCTTTGCTGTTATATTCTTGTTCTTGATCTCTTCCTTCCTGGCATTCTCACTTTCTAGATCTCACTTTCTTTCTCTATTTTGCTTTCTCACTTTCTGTATTGGTTTTGCGTGGCAAGGTTTTGGTAGTGGAGGTGCTGCAGGGGTGGCTTCTGTGAGAAGATGCCAAAAGCTTCTGCCATGTCTGATAGAGTCAGCGCCTGCTGGCTCCAAGACAGAGCTGCCACTGGCCAAGGTTGAGCTGATCAGCAGTGGTGATAACACCTCTGTGATAACATATTTAAGAAGGGGAAAAAAACCGCTGTGCAACATCAGCCAGAAGAGAGGAGTGAGAATATGTGAGAGAAACAGCCCTACAGGCATCAAGGTTGGTGAAGAAAGAGGGGAGGAGGTGCTCCAGGTGCCAGAGCAAAGATTCCCCTGCAGCCTTTGGAGATGACCATGGTAATGCAGGTTATCCCCCTGCAGCCCACGGAGGTTCACAGTGAAGCAGATATCCCCCTGCAGCCTGTGGAGGACCCCATGCCAGAGCAGGGGAATATGCTCAAAGGAGGCTGTGTCCCCATGGGAAGCCCATGCTGGAGCAGGTTATCTGGCAGGACCTGTGTTGTGGGTTTCTGTGGCTGGGTTTTGGTAGCGGTGGGGTGCTACAGGGGTGGCTTCTGTTGGAAGCTGCTAGAAGCTTCCCCTGTCCTATGGAGCCAATGATAGCTGGCTCTAGGATGGACTTCCTGCAGCTGGCCAAGGCCGAGCCAATTAGGAATCATAGTAACGCCTTTGTGATAACATATTTAAGAATAGAGGAGTGTTGCACAGAAGAAATTACAGCCAGAGAAGAGCAGAGTGAGAATATGGGATAACAATGTAGACACCAAGGTCAGTGCAGAAGGAGGGGGAGGAGGGACCCCACAGGAGCAGGGGAAGGACTCAGAGCTGAGGCCCCTGCAGCCCGTGGAGGACCATTGGGGTGCAGAGACCCACCCACAACCCATAGAGGAGCCCATGCTGGAGCAGGTGGATGCATGAAGGAAGCTGTTACCCTGTGGGAGGCCCAGGATGGAGCAGGGTCCTGCTGGAGACCTGCAACCCGTGGAGAGGGAAGCCCACACTGAAGAAGATTTTTCCCGAGTAGGACTTGTGGCCCTTTGGGGGACCCATGTCGGTACAGCTAATCCGTGAAGGACTGCACCCCATGGAGGAGTGACCCATGGGAGAGCAGATTGGGAAGAACTGTTGCCTGAGGGGTGGACTCACATTGGAGAGGTCCATCAAGGACTGTTTCCCACGGGATGGACCCCACAGAAGCAGGGGAAGGACTCAGAGCTGTGGCCCCCCTGTAGCCTGTGGTGAAGACCATGGTGACGCAGGCTGTCCCCCTGCAGCCCATGGAGGACCATCAGGGTGCAGAGATCCGACTGCACCCCATGGAAGAGTAACCCACAGGACAGCAGTTTGGGAAGAACTGCTTCCCAAGGGGTGGACTCATGTCAACAGCGGCAGAAGCAACAACTGACTGCAACCCCCCATCCCCTGTCCCCCTGCACCACTAACATGGAACTGCTAGGGGGGAGGGGGGAAGAGGGAGAACATGGAAGGAAGGAGGGGTGGGGGGAAGGTGTTTTTAAGATTGTTTCATTTCTCACTCTTTGGCTCTTATCCTGTTAGTAATAAATTTAAGTATTATCCCCACTTTGAGTCTGTTTTGCCCACGAAGGTAATCAGCAAGTGACCTCTCCCAGCTCTTATCTTTACTCATGAATCCCTAGCTGTTGTTTTTTTTTTTCTCTCCTCCGTCTAGTTGCAGAGGGAGGGTGATAGAGCGGCTTAAGTGGGTGCCTGGTATCTGGCCAGGGTAAACCCACTACAACCTGTGACTCCCATGAGGGACCCATGCTGGAGCAGTTTGTGAAGAACTGCAGCTTGTGGGAGGACCCGTGTTGGAGAAGTTCGTAGAGGACTGTGTGAGACACCATGCTGGAGCAGGGGAAGAGAAAAAGGAGGACAAAGTGGCAGAGAAAACGTGTGTTGAACTGACCTCAACCTCCATTCCCCATCCCCCT